TTTTAATTTTTTAATAAAAATTAATTAAAATGATATAATTTTAATTTTTTTACCTAATTTTTTATACATACAACTAATAAACATGTTTTTGTTATTGGTTACTATAATTTAGTATGGTAAAATCGATAAATTTTGTAATATATAGTTATAATGGAATTAATAGTAATTTCAACTTGTAAATTACTCCTGCTAGAAAAAGAAATTAAGGAGATGCAATGTCTTTAAATGTGTAGACAAAAAGACTATGTATAAGTATCAAAAGAATACAGTAATGGCTCTAACATTAAGCGGTTTAGTGACTATATCTCTTGGGGGAGGAAATGTTAGAATATGAAATTTTGAGTTCTACATTTAAATATTACTAATTCCCTACTCCCAAAAATTCCCTAAGTTAAAAAAAAAAAAAAAACTAAAAAAAGAAGAAGACAGTAATGCATATTCAAATCAGTTAGAGTTCTCTTTTTCTAATGAAACTGCATTAACTTTTTCAAATATTGTTCTATAAATTCCCTAACTAGCTAGCTTTCCCATCTGACTAATTATGTTTTTTTTTAAAAAAAATAAAATAAGAACAATTTTTTTTTTTGTATATTTGATGATAAATTATATAAATGAGACTTAAGATTCAAATAAGAAAATTTAAAATTAAACTTTCTTACTATTAACTAGTTAAACCATTCTTTTTGAGAAAAATAAGACAACAACTTAACAAACTGTTTTAGTTTAAAAAAAAAAAAAAAAAAAAAGCCGTTCCCTGACTCAACAATAACGTCTTAGGGGGAAAAAAAAAACCAATGCTACCAATATGGCAAGGTGAAAATTCAGTTAGGGATACTGTTCATTTCTAAATACGTACCCCCTGCAAAGCAATTGATCTAATATAGTTTCATTCATTGACTAGCTGTTTCTTGAAACATCTTTCCCTGCCTCCTCATCCCCTATAGAAATAAACTTTTCTGTCATCAAACTAATAACACGGTTAGACTCCGAGCGACAACAACTTTACTTCCGTTTCTAATATCATCAGTAATGCCAATTTCCAGCATGTTGATTGGATCCACACCTCATCCAGAAGCAGCAAATGCTTCTTGTTCTTCAATTCCTCGGTTATAAGCCTAGCAACTTCAACCGGATTGACACTGCCTTCAATTTGCAGTCCAGGTCTCCTTACAATATCTTTATGCAAATTTTCCCCACTTCCCTCCTTGGAAATCCTGACATATATGACCATGTTGAACAATTGACCAACTTGTTCATGGTTATTTAAGTTCTGCATTATTGCCCTTTTATCCTCCCCAACAGGAACCCCAGATCCCTATTCTTCTTACGTTCTCATCTCTCAACAAATCCAATGCCTTTTCCAATGATCTCAAAACTACAGGACACCTGATATCCGATGCATAATTCAGCATCAAAACATGCTCCGGAGGTGTATCCACCAAAAACCCTACTGGGAACTTTCCTTCTTCTACAAGTTTGTGAACTTCCTCATACATCTTCATCACTTTATCACTAAAACTTGCTTGGTGCATCACAAATAAGAACTTCTTTAGTGGCAGTTTTCTCTCTTTTTGGTATCGCCCATTTCTAATTTTTCCATCCTTTCCAAAATCTTTACTACTCTGCCGGGACAGAGGTCATAGCTGCTGGTGGTTGTCTTCATTTTATGCCTCAGAACTGCCCTCTCATAGTCATCCCTTAAGGCCTGGAGCCTTGCTACTTCACTCTTCAGTGTTTCATGGTTTCTCCCCATTTGATTATATGAATTGATCATCCTGTTAGTATGTTTCCATCTTTTTGCCGGTTTCAACTACTGCCCCTGCTGCGGCATTAGATAAAAAATTTAATGCAATATCAGTTGCCATGGGAACCTTGTATCCTGCTACAAAAATCCCAAAATATATAAGCGAATATACAAGTTGTGTCTTTTAATCAACAAAGAATTCAAACAACCTAGAAAAGAATGTCTAATTTTCCTTTTACATTAAGAAAAGACTCATGAAATACTTGTTCTTTAAAAAATGAAATGAATATTTCACATATTTCTCATTATCAATGTTAAGAGTTGGATATTTCTCTAGTTTATTAAATTTACCTTATTTTTTATAGTTTGACCAATGAATACCCACTATCACCTACAAAACATGATCCTTGAGAATAAGCTGGAGAAGATGGAATTAAGAAGACTGAGATTAGAAAGAGAAAGATAATGCTGATAAAAAAAATAGAGAGAGATAATTTTGATCAAAATAAATCCAGGGTGCAGGAAAGAGGAAATCTTATACTTTGTCCAACCCCTTTTAGATAAGCGCTGGGGCTCCAGTGAGAGTGCTAGTAATCTGGTATGTATTATGGATTGAGCGATATGGACATCTCTCCACGATGCTCACCGTTGATGAAGAATACTTCATCCTTCTGCCTAACCTTACATAATCATGTAAATATATAGACCTTTTGCCGATCGAGTTAAAAAAAAATGTAAATGGACAGTTCCTAGAAGCTTCCTACTGAGTAGCAACGCTCATAGCGTTGTTAACCAAGAAATTGCAAGTTTCTGCCTAAACTTGCATAAATTTTGTCGTTGCCTTAAAAAAAATTTTTTTGCCAATTGGAACCTTTGTAGTTCTTCCTACCAATTTCTTCCATGGTTGTGAAAGTGATATTTTATCGAAATGGCATAGTTGTTATCGAAAGAAATAATCTGATGGTTGTGGTCCTTTTTTTGACTCCAATCCATGGAGGACATTAATTTCCTAAATGCAGTGGATGAAGATCCCTCCGATATCTGATTCCGATCAAAAAGAGAGGCAACACCTTACCATTAAACTGTCTCTCAAAAAACATATAAAACCAGCACTGCCCCACGCAGAAAACAAATCAAAGACACCTGGTGTGAATAGCAAAAACGAATTCTGATCTTCTAGACTTATTGGCTCGAAAAACAACAAAAGAAAACAACTTCAATCTACACGGTGGTATGAGTTGTACAAACTACACAGACAATAGATCAAACACCTAGTGAAAACCAGCACTGTCCCCGCGCGGGTAACAGATCAAACACCTGGTGTGCATAGCAAAAATAAATTCTGATCTTCCAGACTCATCAGTTCATAAATCCAAAGAATTCAACTTCAATCTACAGGGCAGTACGTATTTGCTCTCTAACCTACTACTTTCTGCTTGAAAGATAGAGTTATCATTTGTTTTTTTTTTTTTAGTTATTCACTTTGTGCTTGCATCTAAAAAGAAAAGACAAAGATTAGTTAATTTTGATGCTGCTGATATAAAAAAAAAATTTGATGCCATGTTGATGTTGATCTATATACGGTTGTTCATTTTTAATGAATTGTTCTTGCCAATATATAATTCACCCTCAATAAGGCCTTAGACAGGGGACCTCCTAACGCCATGTCACTTTATCATGGCTATGGAAAAACTTGGTAGCAGTAGTAGAGGTCGTAGTTGAGAATTGAGACCCTGTATCCTTCGCACAGATAGACTCATATAAAGACAATGTCAGGGAGGGTGGGAGTGCGAGACCCAAAAAGAACGAATAAACAAGAAGAGACTGCGCTGTTTTGAGATTTTTGTTTAGCGTCTATATTAGTTAGTGCTTTATCCTTCGTACGGCCTAAAAAGAAGTTCTACATATATATATATATATATATTGGTACTTAAAGATTAGAGATTAAACTATAAGTTTTAATAAATAATTATATTATTAGATTATATGGTTGATATTTTAAAGAAGTTTTTTATTGTAGTACTAATACATATTAATCAAACTCAAAGAATTATAATTTAGTTGGTAAGAAATTTGTTTTTTCCACCTTATTCATTAAAACCTATTAAATAAATAATTGTTTTATGAATTTTTTAGTTTTAGCATGAATTATGCCTTTGACTACATTAAGAAGAGATTAATTTTGAGATGAACACAAATTGATCTGAACATACTCTGACCACTAAGAGAAAAAAAAAAGAGGCTTAATCAATGGTCATTTTGCCCCTTGAACTTCAACATTAAAAACCCCTAACAAGAATTTCCTTCTTCCACAAGTTTGTGAACTTCCTCGTGCATGTCTAACATTTTATCACTCAAATTTGCTCCATTCATCAAAAATAAGAAATTCATCAATTGTAATTCCCTCTCTTTTTCCTAAAACCTTTCCCCGGGCTGCTAAGTCAGAGGTCATTGTTTGGAAAAACATGGTGTCACCTAAGTATAGTAAAAAAAAAAACCACACCAAAATTTTCTTTAATCTATCTAAAATTGTTAGGAGCAAGCTAAATTGAACTCAAATGAAAATATGGCAGCAACTAAAATATGCAAAACAACAAATATGACAAAGACAAAACAATCACCACAAGAGATACAAAATTTTTATGTGGAAAACCCAAAAAATAAGTAAAAACTATAAAAACTCCACTATAATCAAAAGAGAATACACAATATTCTTTTGTAAAAGGCACAAAAAACTGAACCAAACAAGAGGAATAACATGCCACAAAGCAACAAGAAATGGGACCGCAAGAGATATAAAACACAATAACAAGCTATTGTTTTGAACATGAAATTAAAAATTACACAACTTTAAATGAAAAAATAGCTGTTCAAAATATAGATTTATGTCTCATGAACACTCATACAAAATTTTAGTTCAATCCAATGGTAAATTTTTGTATATTAAACAAAATGATAAAGCTACGTACAGTACCAAAATTGCCAAAGTTTCCCCCGTTTTCTTTCTCCTTTTCACCTCACGAACTCTCCACTCTGCTCTCCCAAATCAGACCCCATTTTCATGTGTCTTAAAGGGCTGCAAAAACATAATTTAAGTGGGCTTTTTGTGAGTTTAGTCCAACGAACATTGGGCCATTTCTCCACATTGGAGGAATAGGCCTAATCCAACAGTCATAGCTGCTGGTTGTCCTCATTTCATTCCTCTGAACTGCCTTCCCATAGTCATTTTGACTTCTACCTAAATCACTCAATTTGTCTATCTTCTATCAATTCTTGTCCCATGTTTCTTCACTTGCACCTAACACTAAATATTACTACATCAATGTTTCATTTTGCTGCCTGCCTCTACCATTACACAACCCTAGCTACTAGGAACTTTCCTTTTCTCTTTTCTTATACTAATTAGAATACAAAAAAAGAGAGGAAATTTTCTATGAATAATACTCTTTTAGGAAAAATTTTTACAATTTATAAATGTACATGGGAAAGGAATAATTAAGGAAATTATACAAGTCAAACAATGAGAAAGGATAAT